TTTCCTAATAAGAAGTGTGAGTCTTGTATTTTGGGAAAGAAGCACAGGGATCCTTTTCCAAAAGGCAAGGCTTGGAGGGCTAATCGACCACTTGAACTGATTCATTCAGATTTATGCTCAGTTGAAATTCCTTCCAATGGTGGTAGTAAATATTTTATTACCTTCATTGATGATTTCAACAGGAAGACATGGGTGTATTTTTTTATGAAATAAATCTGATGCATGTGATATGTTTAAAAAATTCAAATGTTATGTAGAGAAGTAGAGTGGCTACTCTATTAAAATTTTGAGAATTGACAGAGGCACTGAGTATCTTGTTTGTGATGACTACTTGGTGGAAAGTGGCATAAAACATCAATTGACGGCCAAATATACACCTCAGCAAAATGGTGTAGCTGAAAGGAAGAATAGGACTGTGATGGACATGGTGAGATCTATGATGCACTCCAAAGGAATTCCTAAATCCTTTTGGGCAGAAGCAGTATCTTGTGCTATTTAGGTTTTGAACAAGTGCCCTGCTAGATGCAATTTTGGGAAGACCCCACAAGAAGTTTGGACTGGTATGAAACCAGATATTTCTCACTTCAAGGTGTTTGGGTGTCTTGCGTATGTGCATGTTCCAGATCATTTGAGGAAGAAATTGGATGACAAAGCAGAGAAATGTATTTTTATTGGATATAGTCATGAGACTAAGGGGTATAAGTTATTCAATCCAGATACAAGAAAGGTGATTGTTAGCAAAGACGTGACTTTTAATGAACATGGAATTTGGGATTGGTCTAAACAAGATCCTAAGACATCACCAAAGTATCCATCCATTTCTCCCATTATGGGATCAAGTGCTGATAAACAAGCACTGGAGCAAGTTATGCAACCTCATGGTGATCCTTCACTTTCCGCTATTCAGGTTGAGACATCCAGTCGACCCAAGAGAGAACGCCGCATACCAGCTCAATTTGATGATTATGCTGTTGGTAAAGATAATGATTTAACTGATGAAGAGATTGTGAATTTTGCTCTTTTTGCAGATTGTGAGCCTGTCTCATTTGAAGAAGCTGCCAAAAATAATCGTTGGGTTCATGCAATGGATGAAGAAATTAATGCCATTGAGAAAAATGATACATGGGAATTGACCACTATCCCACCTGAAAAGAAGCCAATTGGAGTGAAATGGGTATATAAGATCAAATATAAGCCAACGGGAGAGGTGGATCGCTTCAAAACAAGATTGGTTGTTAAAGGCTATAAGCAAAAGGCAAGTATTGATTATTTCGAGATTTTTGCACCAGTTGCCAGACTTGATACGGTTCGTATGATCGTCTCACTTGCTGCAAATAATTGCTGGAAAATTTATCAAATGGATGTGAAATCCGCATTTTTAAATGGTTTTCTTGAAGAAGAGGTATATGTTGAGTAGCCTATTGGTTATGTTAGAAAAGGTCAAGAAAACAAAGTATATAGATTGAAAAAGATATTGTATGGGTTGAAACAAACTCCTAGAGCTTGGTATATTCGCATTGATACTTATTTTATTGAGCATGGTTTTCTGAGATGTCCATATGAGCATACTCTGTATATCAAATTCAACCCTGAAGGAGATGTCCTTATTGTATGCATGTATGTGGATGACTTGATATTTACAGGTAACAGTCCCAAATTAATTTTTGAATTCAGGGAGGCCATGATTAGTCAATTTGAGATGACAGATTTGGGATTGATGTCTTATTTTCTTGGTATTGAGGTTCATCAGTTGGATGATGGAATTTTTATCTCACAAAGGAAGTATGCAAGTGATATTCTGAAGAAGTTTAAGATGGATGTGACTAAACCAATGATGACCCCGGTTGAAGAAAATTGAAATTAACCAAAGATGGTACTGGTGATTTTGTTGATGCTACTTACTTTAGGAGGTTGGTGGGAAGTCTCAGGTATTTAACTTCTACGAGACCTGACATCACTTATGGAGTTGGTTTGATTAGTAGATTCATGGAATCTCTATGCGAGTCTCACTTGCAAGCTGCTAAGAGAATTTTGAGATATGTTCAAGGTATGCAGTCGGATGGTCTATTTTACTCATCTTCACATGGCAACAACCTTGTTGGATACACTGATAGTGATTGGGCTGGTGACACAATACAAAGGAGAAGCACTTCCGGTTATGCATTTTACTTGGGATCTGGTGTATTTTCTTGGGCCTCAAAGAAACAACAGGTGGTTGCCTTGTCCACAGCAGAAGCGGAGTACATGACGGCCACAAGTAGTGCTACTCAAGCACTTTGGTTGCGGAGAATGCTTGGATTTTTACAACACAAGCAAGACGGTCCTACCAAAATATTTTGTGATAGTTTGTCTGCTATTTAGTTGACAAAAAATCCAGTTTTTCATGGGCGCAGCAAGTATATTGACATCGAGTATCATTTTATTCGTGAATTAGTTCAAGAGCAAGAAATTCTCATTGATTATTGCAGAAGGGAAGATCAAGTAGCAGATATTTTGACAAAGCCGCTCAAATTGGAGATGTTCATGAAATTGAAGAAGATGCTCGGCATGGTGAAATTTGAAGATCTTGATTTAATGGAAGCAATGTAGGAGTTAAATCAAGATTATTATTTGTTAGTTTTTTAATCGTAGTTGGTTGAAATTAGTATAGCCCAAGTCTATGTTTGGTTAGTTGAGTTCCAATCTAACTAGGGTGGTTGTCCAATTCCAATGTGGTCTCTGATTCATTAGATGGTGCGGATGAAATCCTTGAGCAATATGGAGACTTAGTGCCCTATATATACACAGAGTTAGTCTGCACTCTGTGTGGTATAAAAAGGAGCCAAGAGACTTATAAAATAAAATATTGGTTTGCCTCCTGAAGCTTCATATAGCTTTGCCTCTGTTTCGTTGCTTTGCCTCGTCATAAATAGGGCTATTGCTCATCATTTTTTATTCTTTATCCTTCGCTGCCTAATTAATTCATTGAGTGAAATTTATATGTTGTTTTCCTGTGGGTTATATTCCTTACATTCCTTCATATCGTGTAAGATGGTTTGCCAAAATTTTCTAGTAAAATTCTTTTTTGTCATTTACACTTTACGCACCGTAATTGTCCTTTACCACACTCACTTGAGGCGCTTCCAACCTTTTACTGGGCAGATTGCCAATAAGTGCATTTTGCATTTTTTTTCGAGCTTTGTTCTATTTAATTTGTTTCTCTGTTTTCTAATTCTATTTTTTTTTCTCGTACCTTCTTCGCTTTTCCTTTTCTAATCTTCTCACTTTGGCTCCACGAAATTTTATTAAACGGAATTTACATGTCCTAGTAAATGTGACAATCCAACAGTATACGTATAAAAGATAATTCATATAGAGACCAAAATTGAATATCAGCGAAGTGACTTATTGGTGAATTAAGAGATGAATCACTATTTTAGAATTTACTTTTAAGCTAAAATAAGTTGATTTAGTTGGTAAAGCTAACATGTAATTTTAGATCACTTGTGGTTGTAATCAGAGTCGAAACCAAATAAATTTTTTTTTTCATTTTTTTGGCTTAAATGGTTTGGTGGGTCTTTTGTATAGCTTTCCGCAATCAGTTATTTTGTTGGGGTTAGTATGGATTAAGAAAAGAAAATTATTTGGCAATTTTGCTGGGTTAGAATGGATCTCATAATAAGATAATTTTGGGTCTAATATCTCGCCCAACACACTCTGACACCAAATTCTTATCAAATTTGGTACAAAATCCAAAACTTATTTAATAACGGGGCAAAAAAAGATAAAAGATCTTTTTTTGAAACCAAATTTAATTAGTAGGGAGGTTAAATAGAATGGACCGTGAGGTTTCTGATTTGACTTTCATGTCTTCCCATTTTTCCCTTCTTTCTTATAAGATTTGGAGTATCCCCTTGTCAAAAAAATAAAAACTAAAAAGAGGAGGTAAAAGATTTTCTAAACAAAAATTATTGTGAAACTCAAAATTTAATCTAGTAAACTAATGATTTCTCGACCAATTTTCATGTCTAGGAGTGCTCGAATTTTAACACTATTAGCATCTAGAAAAGATTACGATGACATATACTATGATATCTTTGGATTTTGATGGCAAGGTTTTGAGATTCTATGACTGCGTTTTGATTGAGGAATTTAATAAAGGACTTGAGATTCTCTCAAATTTCGCTAGTTATTTAGATTACCTAAAAGGTACTTGGACTCGTAAATCATCAATTATTCTAGTATCTGAAATACATTTAGATAATTAGTGAATTACAAACCCAAATACCTTTTAAATAATTCAAATAACTAAAGCAATTTGAGTAGATTTTAAATCATTCGTCAGATTTTTCAATCCAAACATACCCTAATAGGATTGGAAATGTTAATGGTGTGTGCGAATGGAGAAATTCTAGTGTCATAGAAGACAAAAGGATTGTTGGGAGACCTAAGAATATTTAGCTGTACTAATCATTGCTGTACAAAGATGAGGAAAGTTATCCTTCAAGCCAAAATTTACTTTGAACACTCATTTTTTCGGCCAACATTTTTGCTAGCCTATTCAATTGAGCTTAATTCCTAAAACGATGCAAATTCTAACATTTTCATTTGAAAATAAACCAAACACGACAAAGAGAAATGTCGAACACTAGGGCCCTCTCTCTTTGTTTTCAAGTCAAAAAGCTGTTATGGTGTGGTCTATGTTCCCCCTCTTTTAGAGTCATTTGATTGTGCATTTGACTGGCTTTTAGCCGAATGAATATGGCTTACAGCAATGGAGATGGCTTTCTCAATAGGGCTTGAATCATTCTCTTCAATCGATTTATATGACTCTCCACAATTTTTTTGTGATGACTATTGTCTAATTTTTATGTTTTATATGTAATTTACATTTAACTTTTATGGAATTCATTAAATTCTAATTCAGCACTACTGATTGGTTGGATTTCATTTAAAGCCCACCCCAGATTTAAATTCTAATTCTCTTGTAGAGCTTTCCCCAATCAGTTATCCCTTTTTCTTTCCTCTATAGCTTGGAAACAATCATTTAGCTTTTCTTTTCCAGTACAATGTTTTCAATTATTTCAGCTTCAAGTTTGTCCAGATTGTGCTAAAGTAGACATTCATGGTCCCACTCTTCAGTACGCAATTCATTTCAATTTTAGGTGTAACAAAATATAAGACAGAGTAGATATTTTCATCAGTATACTGTATACCAACTTGCTCACAAGCTGAACACATCAAATTTCTAAACTTGTTTCTGGAAGATGAATTCTTAGGCCAAATTCTTGAGATCCATGTCAAATCCAGAAATTGAATTTGTTTCTGTTGTTTTGGGCTGAATAGAGAATATATGCAAGTAGGGACAAAATTTTAGCATAGAAATACAAAAAAGTTAATCGATCAGAGAGGTTGATCTATATGTAGTAGAAAATTTTGGACATGATGGCTTCTGCCGCTGGTGCTGGTTCTTCAAGCTTGGATCGCCTTGATTCTGCACTGAGAGGCATAAAATATCCCTCGGAGATCCTGTCAAAACTCAAAGATGATTGGAGATTTTTGGGAAAAATTTGGAAATCCACTCATAAGGGGAGTGGTCATGCTGCCACAGATGAGAAGAATTTGGCCTTCTACCCCAAGATCGAAGCTACAGCTGAGGAGATTGCCCAGAAACTTATTCATTTCCGTGAAGAAATGATGGTGAATGATGACCAGGTAAAAGATGAAGAATTCCTAAACGAACTGGCCCTTGATTGTGCAACAAAAACCAAGCTCTTGATTGCTGAAGTTGAAGAAGCTCTTGACCATTTGTACTTGATGTGGTCAGGAGGGATCAGCAGCAGCAGCTCATTCGGATTGCTGAAGGCGAAAGCTCTTGATGTCTCCTTTTGCAATGATTTCTTTGCATATGTACTATCAACTATGTCCGCAGTCGAGAATATGGCAGTGTATCTTGTATGGGACCATTTCAGTTCGTTGTATGGTAGTATATATTGGACCCGATGGTACCTTGTTTCAATGGTACAACATATTCTTCATCGTCACCGTGCTAGGAATCGACAGGGACTGCAGAGTTTTGATCCTTGCGTTGGCTCTCGTGGACTGCCTAGTTTTGATGCTTGCGTTGGCCATGTTTTGTCCGTGGCCCTACGAATCGCAAACCGGTGTCGTGATTACTGGTTAAATTACAAGACAGGCCGAATCCAAGTGATGAGAAGAGGGCTGATTGAGTTCCTAGTGGATTTGCACAGTGAAATTCATCCAAGCAATCCCAAGTTCATGGGTTTCCATCTCAACTTCCTTATGGCTCTCTGCTGTGCTGAGGTGGTTGCGATTAAGGATTTGCTGGGGAGCTTTTGCTTGTGTGTCTTCTCTGGTAAAGATGGATATTTTCGAGATGAGGTGTTTTTCCTATTAAAACTTTTTCTCTACACCACTTCTGTACTAGATGATGAGGACACAGCACGAAGTTTCATTCCAGAAACTCAGGCTGTGCTAGTAGAGATCACATCTCTATTCGAGTCAACTGGTCGAAAGGAGCATGAACTAGCCAACTCACCTCGGTTTTCTGAGTTACTTACGAAGATTTGTCTTCTCGAGGCAGAGCTTTTCCTCGTGGCGCAAATCCATAGCATGAAAAGCAATACAAACGCTTCTTCCCTTTCCTCCATCATGTTTCCCGATTTTAAAGATATCATGGACCACTGTAGACAAATCCCCAGTAGACTGCGCAGATATTCTGAGAAGTTGCCCCCAGAAACAAGATTAGATAGGAAAAAGTTGTTGGCACTGATTGAATCAACATTCAAGGAGGAAAAATCTCTTCATGAGTCATCTAGGCAGAAGGAAATCACAGCATCTGTGGTGAAAAACTCACTTCTGCTACTTCGTTTTAAGATTGTGATTTTCAAGGGAGGGTCGTTTCTGAAGGAGCTATTACTTCTGAAGAGCAGGAATGATAAAAGGCTTATGGCTCATGAGAAAGATCAAACTAAACTTTTCGTTCAGAAGCTCGAGTGTATCGCACTAATTCTCTCAGATGAAAGAATTAAGGACAGAGAGGACGTATTAGGAGCAATTGGAGAATCTTTTCAGAGGCTGACATATTTCTCTTACTATTTCCTCAACACACAAGATGAAATGACCAACCTTTCATTTTCTGAGCTGTTAGATAAGGAGACACATTTGATCAAGGCAAAGCTCATGGATTTTATTCCTAAATTTCCAGAGTTTAATTTCCCAAAAACTTCCAGACTGCAGTCTCTTGATTTTCTTGGGAGGAAGCTCAGGGAGCTGCTGAAATATAATTCTGCATCAACTGCATTGGCGAAGCTCCACATGGAAGAGATTCAAATACACCTCCAGAATATTTCGCAGTTGGACATTGAGGAGCATCCAAAGATAGAAAATCTCGTTGACCGATTCACTGATTTGGCATATAAGGCGGAGTACATAATTGATTCAATTGAGGTTGATGCTCAATGGCTGCATTTCTTCTGGTTGGACAATGTGCTGGATGAGTTAAGACTTCTTAGCGAGAAGGCTAGAGGAATTCATTTGACAACCCCTGATACGGAAGTCCAAGATTCCAAGAATGTCACCCAGGTTTCAGTTGACAAGTTATCAACAAAAAATACACCAGCAATTGACGAAATTGTGGTGGATCTCAGTAACAGAGAAAATGAAATTCTCAACCAGTTGACTAGAGGATCCTCAAAGCTGGATATTGTTTTTATTGCTGGAATGCCTGGTTTAGGCAAGACAACGTTGGCGAGGAAGGTGTACAGCAGTCTTAAAGTCATGCGTCACTTCCATCTTCGTGCATGGTGCTCTGTTTCCCCAGAATATGAGAAAAGGAGATTGTTGCTCGAAATTCTAACAGGGATTCATGGGCTTACAGAAGAGATTCGCCAAATGAGGGATGAAGATCTCCAAGATAAATTGCGTAAGTTGTTACTGAAAAACAAGTATCTCATAGTTATGGACGACGTTTGGGGTATTGGAGCTTGGAATGACTTGAAAAACTCATTCCCAGATGATGCAAATGGAAGTCGAATACTGTTCACCAGTCGCCTCCACAGAGTGGCCTCGGAAATTAAACAAGAGAGTCCTCCTCTTTCTCTTAGCCTTTTTTCTCATGAGGAAAGTTGGCAGCTGTTAGAAAAGAAGGTATTCAAGGAAGAATGTTGCCCCAGTGAGCTGCAGGGAGTCGGAAAGGAAATTGCTTACCACTGTCAAGGATTGCCTCTTGCTGTTGTTGCGGTTGCTGGTATACTGAAAACGACAGAAAAAAGCCAAAATTCGTGGCAAACAATCGCAGATAACTTGAGCTCACAAATAATTGATAATCCCGAAGCACAGTGCAAAGAAGTCTTAGATCTCAGCTACAAACACTTGCCGGAATATCTTAAACCATGCTTTCTATATTTGGGAGTTCTTAATGAAGGCAGAGATATTCTTGTCAGGAAGTTGATGTTGCTTTGGATCGCAGAAGGTTTCATACCAGAAACTAAGAAGGGCTTTGAAGATGTGGCCGAGGCTTTCTTGATGGATCTAATTGACAGAAGCTTGGTGATAATCTCCAAAAGAAGATCCAACGGCAAAGTTAGAGCATGTCGCCTCCATGATCTTGTCCTTGATTTCTGTAAGTCTAAAACCGACGATGAGAAATTCTTTCAGCTGATAACCAGGTCTGACAATCCATATGCTTCTTTTCCTAGTACAGATTATGGTTTTGAATTTGATTTTTACCGTCATTCATCCCCCGTTTCATTTGCATCCTATCGGTTGGCTATATCTTTGAAGAGAAGCCACTTTATTGAATCAAAACCTTCTGGCTTGGCCACCCGTTCCTTGGTTTTCTTTGCTTCTACAGATTCAGAACCCAAACGCCCTTATGACATCTCATTCATTTGGCACAACTTCAAATTGCTTAGAGTCTTGGATTTTGAATGCTTCAATTTGGGTATTTCATTTCCCGTAGAAATTGGAATTCTGGTACAATTGAGATATTTAGCAGTTGGAGGCTATTTGAAGTCCATTCCACAGTCGATAGCCAACCTCAGGAAACTGAAAACTCTTATTGTGAAGGGATTAAGTGGTAAGATCACCTTACCAAATACTATCTGGCGCATCACAAGTTTAAGGCATCTTCATGTGAGTGTCCACGTTGATTTCGATTCAGATGCTGAAGAGCTTGGTGATTGCTCCATATTAGAAAATTTGATCAGTTTTTCCCGCCCATCTCTTTCTTGTGGTGAAGATGCAGAGAGAATTATAAAGAGGATTCCAAATCTTTGCAAACTGAGTTGCATATTCTATGAATCACCAAATTCTTCAACGAACTGCAATCAGTTTCCGAGATTGAACTGTCTAACTCATTTGGAGTCACTGAAGATATTCTACTGTGGAAGCCCTCTAAACAATGGCGAGTTCAGCCTCCCTTTGAATCTAAAGAAATTGACTTTATCAGACTTTCGCCTTCCATGGAGTCATATATCCACAATTGGGAGACTACCAAACCTGGAAGTCCTCAAGTTACTTTCTGGTGCCTTTGTGGGGAAACTATGGAAAGTGGAAGAAAAGTTTCAGAATCTCAAGTTCTTGAGCTTAGACAGTCTGAACATTGCTCAATGGAATGCCTCTTGTGATGATTTTCCCAAGCTTGAAAGACTCATCTTACAAAATTGCAAAGACCTTGAAGAGATTCCTGCAGAGTTTGTAAACATATACACATTGGAGATGATTGAAGTACATTGGTGCAGTGAATTGGCCGAAAAATCAGCAATTAAGATTGGAGAAGAAACTGAAGAAATCAAAGTCCTTATCAGGAGTTCAAATTTGAGTTCATGAGCACGATTTGGATCACGTTACTTGTACTTCCAGCAACTTGTAAGTCTATTTAATGATTTCCAGCTTTTCAAACAATTGCTCCATTCATTTTTGAGATGACACCTCTTGTATTTCTATTTGCTTCAAGACATATAGCTAGTCGAAAACTACTTAATCTGCTGTTTCATAAATTGCAAAGCTCTGTAAAATCCGGGAAGGTGCATTTTCTGTCCTCTCGAAACTCATTGCGCGTTGTTGTCTTAATTCTAGTGCTAACTTGGATTTAAACTCGTTAGTACTGTTAATTGCTAATTTTGCAACGGACCACTCGTAGCATCTTAAGCTAGGATTTTCATTTGGTAAATCATGTTTGAACTTGAACCTGAAAGCATTTTCTTTGCCTTAGATATTCTGGGGAATTGCTGCTCAAAGGAATGGAGGTTCAGGTCTACAACTTGAAGACCACTCAGCTGGAACTTTGGAGGGTCTCGTTCACCATAAGCAAGAAGTTGTTGCCAAGCTTTGCCTCACATTGGAACCTTCTAATTTTGTATTCTAGATTATGTTTTTGAACTAATGTAGCAATCTGACTCTGAATTTTATGTTGAATTCATGATGAACTGATGAAGCAGGGAGCCTCTAGATGCATTATCAATGCTTGTTTGATGAAATTGGAATGCAATTGCTCATCATCGAATATTGAGGAATTTGTTGGCATGTTTGGTGGATTTTTTTGGATTGGACAATGTGTATTGGGACCAATGGCCTTGAAATCCTTACTTAATACATAAGAAGCACTTTCCGTTTCTACAGTAGAGCGATTTTCAAGTGCAACTTTGCTTAAATGGATGGTTTGTACTTTCGAGTGCTTCTCCTTGCTTAAAGGTATTGTACCTTTGAGGTGGCAGTGGTGGGTTGTACATTTGTTTTGTACTGCTCCTGCTTCTGCGCTGTGACTTCTGTGGATTTCTGTTCGAAATTGTGTCTCCGGCAGAAAAATCCTTCGAAATTGGATACAGGAAATTCCTGATTAATTATCAAAGTTCGTAACTATTGTGTTGAGATTTAATATCAGTTAATATGTTACTATAATGGTTACTAAAATTATTAGTAATATTACTAATAACAATATTATTATTATTATTACTAATAATTTCCAATAAAAAATTATTACTATATTATTGCTAATAATAATATATTATTAGTACATTATTACTAATAATAAATTATTAGTATATTGTTACTATATTAGTATTACATTAATAATAACATTACTAATAATACTAAGGATTTTTTTTTCTATACACTGAGTGTATTCACTTTCAATAATAACATTACTAATAATACTAAGGATTAATTTTCTATACACTGGCAGTGTATATACTTTCACCATTAGATATATGACATATAATTTCAATTTCAATTTGAAACTCAAATTTTGCATATGTGTCGTATATCCAACTGTGATAATGTATATACCGTCAGCATGTATAAGATATACTAAATATTAATAGTAATAACAATACCAGTATTTTAAAACATTTGTTGCTCCATAATTTTAACAAAATGTTTGGACTACACAGTGGTTAATATGGCGTTACTAATTTTTCAAATTTGTTCTTCTATCTTTGTGCAGCACAAGGTCCCCAAAGCAATCCCGCAAAAGCACACCTTTATTCACCATAACTAATCAAGTTTTTTATCCTTGAATTTTTAAATTTCTAATACGATAAGACGAATATAGCTATAAATTGAAAAAAAAATAAGTACTAGAAATTATAAAATTTGAACTTGTGCAATTATTTTAGTTTAAAAAATGGTTTCTTCAAAACAAAAAAAAAAAGAAAATTATTTGGCAATTTTGGAATTCATAGATAAACTAGAGCTCAATTTTAATTTTAGAAAAGTGAAATAGCTAAATAATAATTCTATACAAAAATAGGGCTAGCTTTGAATCTTTAAAATAACTTTAATTTTTTTTTTGAAACATAAAGATTGCTCCAAAAGCATCAATTTTGAGTTTATGCAAAAAGTGTTTTAATAGTCAAAAGCTCTACCTCTTTAATTCAAGAATTTATGCTCACCAAATAAGTTAAAAGTGCTTTTATCCTCCTCCAAAAACACTTTTTCTAAGCAAAAGTATGGCAACTCCAAATGTGCCTTAGTTCTTAGGCTTTTCTTCAACCTCATCTTATCCAAATCTTGCTCTTTCTCTTTTCGCTTAAATTTTTTCCTTATTCCAAATATACACGATAATAGGTCTCTCAACTCATCTTTCCCTTCACTCTTTAGAAACCAGTCAATCTCTCCCTTTCTCTCTTTTTTTTATTCTTTATATTCTTTGTCAGATTAACTTTTTATACACTGACGGTGTAATATTCTTTTGCACTAACAGTTTTGGATGTATGCCACATATGCATAATTTGAATTTCAAATTTGAATCCATATTGTGTGGCATAATCTGAACTTACTAGTGTAAAAAAAATATACACGACAGTGTATAAAAAAGTTATCATTCTTTTTCTTTATTTCATTCTATTTTTCTTTTCAATTTAGATTTGTCATTGGAGTCGTTTTGAGAGATAAATGGATCTGTTGAGGTTTGGGAGTTGGTTCTCCCAAATCAGGAAAATAAAAAAAAAAATTAGTGATAAGAAAAAAAATGAAAAAAACCGGATTCCTAGTGATTCTCTAGATTTTTGGTCAAAACCAATTCTTTATCTGGGTCTAACTTAAAACAACTTAGGAGTACAATTTCAAAACAAATACATAGATGCTAGCAAATCTCAATATAAGTACAATATGTTGAGATCCCTACCAAAATTTTGATATAGCATGTATTTGTAGAGTTTTAGAATGTACCGTAGGAAGGAGTGCAATAGTGATATTAATAGGATCTGTGTGTAACTTGATTTTCTGATATAAAAAAAAGTACAATATGTTGATATTTCTTGTCGAATTACTATAATTTTTAATAACACTTTTGAGACCTAACAGACCAGATTGTCTCAATCGAACTCAGTTATCCTGTACATTTAAAATTATCTTTTTTTCCAAACAACAAAAACAAAACTGTAAGCTCATAAGCCTAATAAAAATCGTGTGTGCCCATGTAGTACACATAATATTTTAAACACAAGTAAACAAAGGAAAACAAACCATTCTTATCACCTCTTGCATATTTGCGTGCACAACTTGTTCAATCTCAACACACCAATTGCCTTAAGATCAAAACATAATTTGGATTCTCAAAATATTCAATACGAACAAAAGCTAACCTCCTAAGGGTATATATGCTAAGAAAGGCATAGATCCTTCGTCAGTCCATTACACTTCCTCGAATGACCTAAACTAGCACTTGACATGGGTTCAAGCTCCCCAAAATTTATTTAGAATTCACAACCTCCCAAAATATCGACTTGTGTTCACAACCTCCTAAAAAACTTAATTTTTAGGCTCTTGTCAGTGACAAACAATATACAGAATAATTGACGAAAAGCATAAATCCAATCATTATTTTACTAAGTGTGCACAATGACAAATATGTACACATAATCCAAATAATAAATTGCGACACTTAATGGCCACGATTTAACACAATTCACAACCAAACGAAATGTCTAATAAGGGACCAGTTCACACATAAACCAGCATGGAATAGTGCTAAAAATTGCTTCTTGAAACAAAGTATCTGTTAAGAGAAAAGAGTTTTCGGGGAAATATTTTCTCTATTTCATACAAATGATACAATGGTATGAGACCTATATACAGGCTTATAACAGGCTAAGATTCAATAAATCTGGATAAATATGCAAAATGGTAATTGCCTATTTAATCCATATCTAACACCTGATTGATATATAATTTAAATTCAAAAAATTAGATAATTATAATTAGCTCACTCCAACACTACCCCTCAAGTTGGTGCGTAGATATCCCTCATGTCCATCTTGCCAGATGAGTTGTAGAAATTCTTAATCCGCACAGTTTTGATAAGTATATTAGCCAGTTGATCTTTAGATTTTACAAACGGAAACCTTATTACCTTATCGTCTAGGTTTTGTTTGATGAAGTGCTGATCTATTTTTACATGTTTAGTTCAAGCATGCTGAATTGAATTATAACAAATGTTGATGACAATTTTATTATCACAAAATAAATCCATTTCAGAAGTTCTTTTAAAGTCGAAGTAGTTCACACACCCCTTTGTCATTCCTCTAAATTCAGCTTATGCGCTAGACAAAATCACCACCTCGTGTTTTTTTTTTTTTTTGCCAACACAAAGGTGTCTGGGTCAATCCTTACGGGGCCTGACTAATTCCCTGCGACCCGAGCCCGACACTCCAACCCGATCCAAGCACGATAAGTGCGCGGAAGAATCCAGCAGAGCAGAGACTCGAACTTGGGACCAAATGATCACCAGTGAGAGGTGCTACGTTGGACCATTCACGCGGGGCACCTCGTGTTTCTTATGCTTCTCTTTGTGACTAAGGGTTTGTTTGGCACCCTAGTTTTTTACCAAGTTTTTTAGCTACTAGTTTTTTAACAACTTTTGCTACAGGAACCCCAAAAAACTTTTCAAAGTTTTTTACCTACACATTTCAAAAATCTATACACAAAAAATTTCTCAAAAAATTTTCTTCCTCCCTCACCCAACCCACCACACCAGACACCGCCTTCACCACCCTCCCGGCGCCGCCGGTAACCTCAAAAATTTTTTTAAAATTTTTGACTCCCTCACCCTCAAAAATTTATTATATATATTATATATTTATAATATTATATATTTATATATTATTTTAAACATATTATAAATATTTTATTTTATTTAAAATATATTTTTATATATTTATATAAATATTATATACCATATAAATTAATATTAATATAAATATGTAATTATACATTTATATAAATAATATATATATATTACATATTATATAGATTACACATTTATGTATATATATTTATGTATATTTATATACAATTATATTATGTACTATGTATAACATAATACATTTATACATAATATTAACACACAATATTAATTATACATTTATACATAATACTAATACATTTATACATTTATACTAATTATATTAATACATTTATACATAATATTATATATTTATATATTTATAATATATTCATTTAAATATTTATATAATATTCATTTATAATAATATACAATTATTACATTTGTAAATATATTTATATTATGTATTATATATAATATAATACATTTATATATTTTTATATAACTATATAAATATATTTCTTTATACATGTATTATAAATGCATAAATATATATAAATATTTAAAAAATAAAAATTATAAATTATAAACAATATTAATTATACATTTATACATAATATTAATACATTTATACATTTATATTAATTATATTAATACAGTTATACATAATCATCATATATATTTATAAATTATAAATTATACATTTATATAATATTCATTTATAATATATACATTTATATTAATTATACATTTATACATTTATAAATATATGTATATTATGTATTATATATAATATAATACATTTATATATTTTTATATAAATATATAAATATATTTATTTATAAATATTTATAAATGTATTATAAATGCATAAATGCATATAAATATTTAAACAATAAAAATTATAAATTATAAACAATATTAATTATACATTTATACATAATATTAATACATTTATACATTTATATTAATTATATTAATACATTTATACATAATCATCATATACATTTATAAATTATAAATTATACATTTATATAATATTCATTTATAATTTAT